CGGCAGCGCGTCAGGAGCCGGGCACGGGCCGAGTGCCCCGGGACAGGCCTGGCTGCGGTCGGGGCTGCCCTGGCACAGCGGGGGCCGGGGCCGCCGTGACCCGCTGCCCGTGGGGCTGGCGAGGGTGGGAGCAAGGCTCCGACGACGAAACGGTAAAGAGGGGGCTTGGGGGCAGCACTGCGAACAGCCGGGCACGGGGGGCACTCGGGGCTCTGCGCGGGGCCTTGGCCTCCGCTGTGGGGCTGTGTCCCTCCCCCCGGGGCCGCAAGAAGCGCCACACAGAGCAAGCGGGGGACAAGAACTCTCTCGAAGAACGATTAAGGTAGAACAAAGATATTACTTTCTATCACGCAAATTATTTTTCTTCCTTAGGGAACATCATGTGTGGTAATTCCTAATTTTAAAAGTAGTACCGCTTCTTCAGAAAATCAGACCACAGCACATGCTTGAAAACCCTCCAGTAAAAATAAACTGTACAGTTGTTTCCTAGACATAACTACCAGATCCATTTTAAACAATGAACAGCATTGCCAAAAGACTTTTGAAATCAGTTAAACGTGGCCAAGCTGTGTGGCTGAGAAGCAGCTCTGCTCAATCTGGAGAACAGCATCTGCGGAAACTAGTTCTGGGGATAGAGACGAGCTGTGATGACACCGGTGCTGCAGTGGTGGACGATGCCGGCAATGTGCTGGGAGAAGCGCTGCACTGCCAGAAGCAAGTCCATTTACAGTAAGAATACACTTTTCTCAGGCTTTCGCCTTACTAGTGTTATTATTGTTATTCTTACCTGTAATGTCATCTGTATAAGTCTTCTCCAGAAAACTCCGTAGGAAGTGGGTAGGTGTTAAGACCTACGCCTTGAGCCACAACACATTCTGCTTGAGATATTACTAAGGGTGAGGAAGGCAAGCTGTGCACATAGCAAGTTTCCTCCAGTATTTTCTTTCAAAGAGAGACAGATTACTTATCTAGCTTGAATTAAAGATGAAATCATTATTACTATTAAAACCACCGTCTCAATTTTTTTAAGGGAAAATTAATCAAATATAGGCATTGGTGGCTAAGTACATCAACTGACAAGTGAGGGCTTGTGAATATTAAGTTACAAACATTGGTTTGGAACAACATTGAGATACATATAAGAGGTTATGTGTTACCAAAAAAGGGAAGTTGCATCCTTTTCTGACCTCCCAGTAATAATTAATACCATCTTCAGTGCATAATGCCCTTTTAAACAAGGCATTTGAGAATGTACTAAGGAAACGGGCAGGATATGGCAAGGTTAAGAGGTGTTTGAAATTATTTTTATGTCATTCTATCTGTTATGAAATGCAAATATATTGTAATTCTTTGTTTTTATAGAGCAGGTGGAATAATTCCAGTGGTGGCACAGCAACTTCACAGAGAAAACATTGAGCAAGTAGTAAAAGAGGCGCTTAGTGTCAGTGGAGTTTCTGTACGTGAACTTGCAGCTATTGCAACTACAGTAAAACCAGGACTTGCACTAAGCCTTGAAGTGGGGCTGCAGTACAGCTTGACCTTGGTGAACAAGTACCAGAAGCCGTTCATACCCATTCACCACATGGAGGCTCACGCACTGACCATCAGACTCACGCACCATCTGGAATTTCCCTTCTTAGTTCTTTTACTCTCTGGAGGCCACTGCATCTTGGCAGTAGCACAAGGAGTTTCAGATTTCCTTCTGCTTGGACAGTCTATAGATATAGCACCTGGTGACATGCTGGATAAGGTTGGATTCCCTTACTTAAGTGCATCTGTTATTTTTTTTTCTTATTGCAGTTAAAGTACATAATGGTAGTATTATCATCAGCCTGAGGACAGTAATACAGTGCAGTATGAGCTTTACTTTGTTTTGAAATACCATCGATTTGAGACACAGGAGGCTGTTAAAAATCAATGCATAGCATCAGTTGCAACATGTCTGTTTGCTAAAAATATAATTAATTTACAACATAAGTAAAATTGGCATTGGAAGTTTCACTGACATCTGTTTTACGAATGAGCTGTATGAATTTGAGAAGACTGATAGCGATATTTTAAAAGATACTGTCAGGTTTAAAGCGATACATATTAAAACATTTCTTACCTGGGTTTTTTTTGCACAGTTTGAAAAGCCTCTGGTTTGACTTTCACAATCATCTAGGTTTTCTGGGTCAGCAAGTACAATCTGTAAAATTGGTCACTTACAGTTTTGTTTTCAAACACAAGCAGTTTTTAAACAGTGTTTGTGTGTGTATTAATTAAAAAAAGTGGGGGGGTGAGTGAAGTCAGAAAGGGTATTGTTGAAAGTTGAAACCAACTTTGTTTATCTGGTAATAAAGCATGGCACTCTGTGTGCTTCCTATAGCATAAAAATTGAGTAATTAATGTTTCCTGCAAAATTCATTGATCCTCATGTTTGCCCAAATTGCTCAAGAATTGCACTTCTAATTACTCCAGAAAAAAAATTAAATCCAGTCAGTGTATGTCTTGTCCTTATTGTGCCCTGTTTGTAATCTCAGATTGGACTAGATTTTTGCTCCACTGACTACAATACAATGGTGCAGTTACGGGAGGAATTCACTTAGCTCTCTGTTCCAAGTCTGTTGTTTATTACCTCCTTAGGTAGCAAGGAGACTCTCTTTAAGAAAGCATCCAGAGTGCCACAGCATGGCTGGGGGGAAGGCGATAGAGCACTTGGCTCAAACTGGAAACCGGCAACAGTACACATTCAGACTTCCCTTGCAGCAATATCGTAACTGTGATTTTTCTTTTTCTGGACTTCAGAACCTTGTCAATAACACCATTATACAAAAAGAAAAAGAAGAAGGTATTTTTAAATGAAGTCAGATACAGACTGTGTTTTTTGATGACCTATACCCCGGAAACCCCATTTGATCATACATTTTTATAGGTATTCAAGAAGGTGAGATCCTATCCTGTGTTAAGGATATTGCTGCTGCTGTACAGCATGCAGTGGCTCTACATATTATCCAGCGGACATATCGAGCCATGCTGTTCTGCATAAAAAATAGCATCTTATCATCAAGAAATGCAACTTTGGTGGGTATACTTTTTTTCCCTGTTTATATTTGACTGTATAACATTTGAAGATGCAGATACCTTGTACTTTCTCCCTTGACAGGTGAGGAAGATGTCAGTATGTATTTCATTTGTTAAAATACCAGGATTAAAGTAATAGTCCTATAAATATTTACAATAAAGTCTTTCATAGTTTGTTTGGTTTTAAGATAGGAAGAGATTTTTTTACTATCTAATCTGACCTTCCATAACAATTTAGGCCACATAATTTGACCTAGTGCTCCTCAGTACTTGACAGCTGTTCTAGTTACGCTTTTATTCAGGAATCTCATTTAGCATAATAAGCTTACTTATTGTACTTGTTTCTGTTATGTGTTCATCTTCAGAGATATGTTTTAATCTTCAAATGTGCTATTTATTGCTGTCTTCAGAACTGCATTTGATGACCTTTTTTTACATAGGATGGTAGTTGAGTGTAACCCATCAGTACTTTTTGAGTTAATGCCTTTTTTTCTTTTGGAAACTGCTCTCAGGTTGTATCAGGAGGAGTTGCAAGTAATCAGTATATCCGAAAAGGTCTACAGACTTTGGCAGATGCAAATGATTTTGCTTTTCTGTGTCCTCCTCCAAGATTGTGCACTGATAATGGTGTTATGATTGCATGGTAAGAGTTGTTTCTCTTTACATGTGTATTTAAAGAATGTTATTAAGAGTTGGTATTAGAGTCAAGAACTTCTGTTTATGGTGACTGAACCACATACACATATTTAGATAGGTATGACATTTTACATAATTGCTTTCTTACTTAGGAACGGCATTGAAAGGTTACGTGCAGGACTTGGTGTTTTACATAGTACTGATGGCATCCGCTATGAACCAAAGTAAGTGACCCAGTTCATTCACAGTCTATTTCTCCACTTATTCATCGTGGGCAATGAAAGTGAAAGGAGCTATAGGCTGAAAGGAGCAGCAGAAGCTGATGAGGAGTGTCTTTGCAGAACATATAACCTTTAAAACTTACCAGCACTTCCTTTTCAATGTCGCTGTGAAATACAAATGATCATGCCTGGCACTTACGTTTGTTTTGGCTCAGAAACTTAAATTACGGTGCACGGTAACAGTTTTATGTATTTTCCTATTCCGTTGTGGTATGGGAAAACTGGAGCAAGTTAAACTGCAATACACTGCCCCTAGCTTCTCCGTTACTGTAGACAAATCAAAATGCTCCAAGTCAAACTGTGTATTCATAATGAGCTATCAATTTAAAAAAAAAGAATGACATACGTCATCTGATTTTTATTTTTTTTTTAACTGATAATACTGGGGTTTTTTTAATGACTTGTTAGGTTAAGACTTGTTCTATGGATTTAAGTAGATCCCAGGCTTAAGGTGAAACAAAATTTCAAAAGTATCAGCTGGTCTTAAACTTGTATTTTTTCCAGGTTTTTCCCCTTTCCATTTTCAAGAAAACAGACTTGGAAGGTCTCAGGACAAAAAAAAACCCCAAAACTGTTTTATAGTTTTCCCAAGGAAAAATGATAAAATACTCTTTTTGAAAACTAACTTGCTTTATGTATCTCAGTGAATAAAATACTAAGTTTTATTTGCTGTAGACTCTGCATCCTTTATCACAGAAAGAGATACCTGTGAATCTCTAGCGTGTCTTGTTTTCATCAGTGACATATATAAAGAATTATCAACTAAAATCTGAATCTAAATAAAACATCCCCAAAAGATGGCTTTGAAATCACAGCTGTGTTTCCTGACTTTGGAATGGCTACAGATCAAATATTTCCTCAGTGTGAAGATGTTTTCAGGTCCAGCTTCAGATGAACCATTTCAATAGTCACACATTCTGAACAGTGCAAGAAATCTGCAAAAACAGTGACTCCCATGCTCACTGTAAAAAAGGTCTGTGAATCTGCACATCTGTGTGATACAGCCATAATGTTACTTATTTTTAACAAATACATCATAATTTTATTCTTTTCTAGAGCTCCCCTTGGAATTGATATTTCAAAAAGAGTTGAAGAATATTCCATCAAGGTGCCAAAACTAAGAAAGAAGATACAATGGTAACTAAATAAACAGGAAATTGTTCAATAAAAACTGTTACATTTACTGAAAGTACTTGGTTTACAGGTGTTGAAAATCACCTGTCATAGGAATAAATGCTGTGTGGTATCACCAGAATGATTCCAGTTACTGTTCCACAAATGTCTAACAGTTCTATGTATTAAAACAGTAACAACAGAAAAATAAAAGTGCACTTTCTTATAAACTTACACAAATGAAAATACCTTCATCGTTTACACTTTGTAACTTAAAAGGTTTATCTATTTAATATATACCATATTATAACTTAACAATATATAATTTACACAAGGTTTATAATTTAAACTATATGTTAAAAAAATTCCTAACTACTACGATTGAAAAGTTGCAAAAAGTGGACACAAGAGCACAGATTTTTCAAGATTTCAATGTGTTAGCTTTGCCAGTACAACTGAATTTTTCAGCAGTACCTAATTTTATGCTGCTGGTGTGAGAAACCTGTTCTTAATAATACAAAACCAAATTG